CCTGCCACCCAGGCCTCAGACTCACCTGATCCACTCTGTCCATCTGGACCCCAAACTTGCCTCCAAAGCCGCGGACTGAGTCTACTTGGGAGCAGTGCTTGGCGAGCTTCGACTGGTACTCGTGCCCCACGGCTGACTGGGGGTGGGGAGAAGGGTTAAGGCAGCCACCAGTGGTTGCCGCATGGCCATACCATGGAGGAAGCCCTCGGGCCCTCTGCCCCCATCCCATGCCTGGTGCCCCACTCGCCCTTCCAAGCCCACCCCTTTGCAGACAAGCTGGGGCTCAGCGGGACACGGAGGCAGCTGTCCCAGGGAGTATCAGCATTGCCCCTGATCTGCACGCGAGCGAGGAGGAAGTGGTGTGGAATAACAGACCGGAACCTGAGCCCGGCTGGGACCCGGACGCCAAGCACAGAGCAGGGAGTGGCTCCGATGTGCACATCGTTCCAATCAACCCAGAGCCAGTGTGTGCCACACTTCCCCTGGTCTCCAATCCTCCCCAGGGGGTAAACCCATCGGCCTTGGCCTTCCGCCGCAGCGATGCCCCTGAGGTGTGCAATCAGCCACTCCACTCACGCCTCCCGGGACATCTGCATCCCACCAGGGACCCAGCACCAGGCTGGTCCATTTGCTCTGAGCTCGCCTCCCCCGTGCACCATCCTCAGAGATGGGGATGCCAGTCAGACCTTGGGTGGACGCCTGACTCACATCCTGGACACAAGCTGGCCCCGGGCCCCCACAACCCCCTCCCCACCCACAGTGTCTCTTCTGGGCACACATCCTGATACCTGTCCCCTAGCAGAGGGGGTTTGGGCAGTCTTGCTCCTTCAAGATGGGATATCTGACGTTCTACCCCAAGGAAGCCTGCCTGACACCAAGAGTCGCCCCATACACACACCCCGGGGCTGTCAGCAGGCCAAACAGCACCCCACTCCCTCACCTTGTCCATCCTGTCTTGCTCCACACCGAACTTGCCCCCGTAGCCATGGGAGGGCTTAGGCCCTGTTTCAAGTTCCTTCTCCTTGAGGGTCTGGTGCTCCTGAGAAACAGTCTCCCTCAGCTTGTGGACGCTGAGGGGGGAGGCACACAGTTAGTCAGCAGGTGGACAATGAGGGGGAGGCACACAGTCAGTCAGCAGGTGGACAATGAGAGGGAGGCACACAGTCAGTCAGCAGGTGGACAATCAGGGGAGGTACACAGTCAGTCAGCAGGTAGACAATCAGGGGGAGGCACACAGTCAGTCAGAAGGTGGACAATCAGGGGAGGCACACAGTCAGTCAGCAGGTAGACAATCAGGGGGAGGCATACAGTCAGTCAGAAGGTGGACAATGAGGGGGAGGCACACAGTCAGTCAGCAGGTGGACAATCAGGGGGAGGCACACAGTCAGTCAGCAGGTGGA